GCCTTTCTCCAATCTTGTCGACTCTTCACGCTCGGGATGCAACTCGACAACGACGATAAAGAATAATAAAGTAAAATCTACACCTGTGATGTCTTCGGTTTTACGAGGACGTTGATGAGGTAAACTGCGAATTTTGGATGATCCGAGGAAACGCGACGCTGAATACGCGAACTTGATCGATGCCGATTCTGATATTCGACTAGAAGAAATTTTCATCCGATTGAAAATTCGAAAAGTCGAATACATACTTTATATATGTACATAGAATTTGTATATACGTGTAGATAGTTAGATAATAACAATTGTAGAGAGAGGAAAATATCATTACCACGTGTACAGTCTTTTTTTTTTTTTTTTTCTTCGAGACGAGGAATAGAAGAAAATGCGAAAGAGCGTGTGCGAGAAACTCAGATGGTTAAAAAAAAAAAAAAAAAAAAGACAGAGATGTTAATATTATTTATAAACCAGAGATCTAATTTAATGTAAACAGATGGTATATATAGAGATACGATGCAAAAATAAAATTCAAATCATTGCGTAAATTTAATTTCGATTCTATATCCCCCCTCTCTTCGATCTTTTCCTTCGAAAATTACTCTTCCTCTTCCAACGTCGAAAATATTGCTTCGACTCGCCATTCTTTCAATTATTTCTCCGTCAAACAACAATTTTTATTTTCTAACTTATTTCGAAACCGACTATTTGGAAATCGTATTCGTAACGATGATCTATCCCCCCTCCCCTTAAATAAACGGTACACGTCTTGCACGCGTGAAAACAGTCCCAGAAAGATGTTTCGTGGCTGTGCAAGGGGAATCCATATTTCTTTTGACGCGATTTAAATCTGAATAGCCGTTCCGCCGTGGTCGTTCAAGGTTGCTGCGTGTGCACGTATGGGTTCCCATACGGCCACACGGCACGAGGGTAGAGAATGGTTTATATCGAGGGGAGCGCGTGAGATCTGTATTAGTAGCGATAGAGCAGCGGAACGGCAGTGTCTCTCAAACCTCGTACGATCGCGATCGAGTGTTTCGAACGAGAGAGAAAAAGAGAAGAGAGAGAGTTGATCTCGTTGATGGTGCTCGGGGAAACGGCAGCAAAGAGTGACGAAACTTTTTTTTTTCCACACGCACATTTCTCTCTCTCTCTCTCTCTTTTCTCTCTCTCTCTCTCTCTCTCTCTCTCTACCGGTCAAGCCGTGAGAGTAATCGTTCGACGATGGAAAAAGGCGCGGTACCGTGAAATTTGGGGCACCGGTAATTTCCGTGCGGCAAACGCGACGAGGAATACTTCAAATTCGACATTTCCAGCGGATATCGCGTTACGATAGGCAAAGCCTCCATTGCCGCCACTATGTCACCGTGAAACATAACCTAGGACACAAGGGGTGGTTCCACGTGTTTTTTTTATATTTCATTTTTTTTCCCTCCCCCCTCTCCTCTTTTATTCTATTCTATTTTCTTTATCTCTCTCTCTCTCTCTCTTTTTTTTAGTTTGTCGGTCTGCTCTCCCCGTTTGTTTTCGTTTTCGCTCGATCGTTGCCGGATACGTTTGTCAACCCGGTGCATGAAAGTCGTGGACAGTTAATCTCGGTGACACGGTATAACTCAGCTCCCCCTCCCCTCCGAAGAAAACCATCGGAATTTCCCGTGAATAGCGACCGACCGAGTTATCAACTCTGATAACGAATGCCTCGGGAAAATGGGATGAATATTAAAAAGCGAGGGATTCGGGAAAAGCGAGCGGGTCTCCTCGTTTTCGGAGACCCGATGTTTGCGGCCGGACTACAGTCGAAATCGTCTCGATCAGCTTCGAGATATTTTTTTCCCCTCTCTCCCCCATTATTTTATCACCGTTCCGCCATTCGAATTTCAAAAATTTATATTTTACGCTCGAGGTGAAAAAAAAAAAAAAAAAGAAGAAGAAAACTATCCGCGTATTGCGCGATTGAAAAAAATTTTCCCTTCTTTTTCCTTTCGAAAGGAATGCCTAATCAACGGCAATTTTGACGCTTCGATATTGGAAATAAATTTTTGTGATAATTTGTAATAATTTGGAAATGTTGGAGAAGAAGGGGGCGCGCTTTTTTGGGGGAAATTGAACGAGAAGGATGGGAACGAGAGGGAAAATGAGAACCGCGTTAACACCCCGTCGCCGTGGGGCTGTTCGTTGACGAGTAGACAACAGAAGCAAGCAACCATGAAGGGTCGCCGCACGAACCGAGTCAAACCGATCGGAGGTAATCCGTGCGCGCGAGCCAGTCGGTACTAACTAATGTTTGCTCAAAGAATCGCGACGAATAATTGAGTCAGCCAGCGGGAGAAGAGAGGAAAAAAATCAGCGCCCCGAATCACCGGCGGAATAATCGACTTTCCGAGGACGGACTTCCTCGCCTCGCCATTTTTCACCCCGGCCCTCGTAAATGGACGATGTTTGACGAGCCCTTTTCGGATAGCGTGCAGCTCTTCTTCTAATGGATCACCGGTACCTACACGGAGAAAATCGTGGAAATCGTCGTCAAAATACCTGCACTTGTTTCAAAATGGAAAATAACCGAATAACCGAAACAGACTTTTGCCCTTGTCTAACGTTTTACCTGCCTATGGTTTACGCGAATAATAAGCTTAACCAGCCTTCGAATTCATCATCGTTTACGGTTTCTCTTCATCCCGTTAGGCAGATTCTTAAATCAATCGACCGAAACTAAACCAAACCAACTATCTTATTTTCGTCGATGCGAATTGGCGACAATTCGAAATATCCTTCTCGAATATCTCGTCTCGTTCTTTTTCTAAGAGCACAGATGAAAAAAAGAAAAAAAGGAAAAAATTACACATCGCGAAAGAAGCAAATTTCAACAAAACAAACAAACCTTCCTCCTCCGTTTCCTTCTTCCTTCGTCCAGAAAATTTCTCCTCCGACGGAACGAAGGGATGGAACAAGGCGGTAGACGCAAAGTATTCCAACGATTCCCGCGCGTGTCAACATGCCAGAGAGGATCCTCCTCCTCCTCCTCCTCCTCCTCCTCCTCCTGCTGCTGCCGACTACTCGCGGCTGTAGAGGCAGGATCGTGAGGACAGAGCTCGAGGGTCCTAGATTTAGGCAATCAGCGTTGATGAGGGGGTGAAGGACTCGGACAATTAGTAACCACCCTGCCTCCCCCTCCTATCTTCCCGCACCTTCGGCCTCCGATTCAACCGGTGAAGCCAGCCAACAACGCGGAGACCGCAGCCGCCACGCATGCGAAAGAGGATGCTAGATGCGAGAAGAGGGAGGGAAAGAGAGAGAGAGAGAGAGAGAGAGTGGCGGCGTTTACGTCGTGTACGCCGCTTTGCGTGGATTACGCTACTCTCTGAAGGGTCTCCCTTCTCTCTCCTCTTAGTGGATAGCCGAGACGTAAGTCGTAAGAAGTGTGATTTTTCGGTCCATTTTTTGGATAGAGGAGAAGGAGGAGAAGGAGGAAGAGGAGGAAGAGGAATCCAGTTTGAATTTAAAAATGGTAGAAAAGGCCTGGATCGCAATCTCGTTATATTATCCTCCTCTCGATAAACATCTGAAGAAGAATCCGTCCAAGCCCGCTCATTAAAGATCCTTCTGTAACCGAGAGAATAATCGGAGCGAGAGGGGAAGGAATTACCAAAGGAATCCGCCACTCGAATCG